AGGCCTTTGAGGCATGATTAGGAACACAACTGTGTCCTTATAAAAGAGACGCTTTGCTTCTACCATGTGAGGAGGCAGCAGCAAACACCATCTAACAGACCCTTCAGTCTGCTTGCCCCTTGATCTTGGATGTGCAGCTTCAACAACTGTGAGATATAGATTTCTGTTGTTTAGAAGCTGCCTAGGTTATGGTGTTTTAGTGAGAGTGGCCAGCACATAAGTATTTCATCAGGAGCTGGATCCTGTACCAGCACTTAGATAATCCCATAGCAGCACTCAGTGTGTGTTAGTTAATGAGTTAGTGAAGGAGTGAATAGAGGTATGAGTGTGCGGAGGATGAATGGGGACAAGTGAGATTTTTGTTAGGGTGGAAGAGGCTTAACAAGTATAAAAGTAGATGGTCATGGTCTCAGAGAGAAGGTAGTTCTCTACAGAAAAACAAACAAACAAACAAAACCCAATAGTGTAAATTCCTGAAGAAGGTCTGAGTGGTGGGGCCCTAGTGCGGGTGGGAACTCATAGGAGGAAGAGACCCACCCTAGGAATCAGAGCAGAGGACAGGCATGGATGCTTCTCTAGCTGAGTGTGGCAGTTTGGTCACAGCAGGTGGTGAGGGAGTTCCTACTGAGGTGCAAAATATTGGGGCATAGATCCAAGCCTTGATATAGTCAGTGGTTAGAAAACAGGCTGACATAAAAAGAAAGAAAAAAATACAAGATAGCTGGGTGTGGTGGGACACACCTGTAATCCCAGCACTCAGGAGGCTGAGGCAGGAGGATCTGTGTGAGTCCTAGACCAGCCTGGACTACATAGTGAGTTCCAGGTCAGTCTCAACTACATAGTGAGACCCTGTCTCAAAAAAAAAAAAAAAAGGAAGGAAAAAAATACACCAGATATTAGAGGTCAGGCAAAGGTCTCTAGGTTTGCTGAAGTTGGTGACACTTGTAGATGCTCCTGTCCTGTTCCATGACTGCCCTCCCCCCAAGCAGTGCTTAGTTGAGGGACTGCTCAGAGCAGAGGAAGGAAGGTGGGAATGTGTCAGATGGTTGCAGCAGAAAGAGAATTTAAAAAAAAAAAAAAAAAAGGAAGGAAAAAAATACACCAGATATTAGAGGTCAGGCAAAGGTCTCTAGGTTTGCTGAAGTTGGTGACACTTGTAGATGCTCCTGTCCTGTTCCATGACTGCCCTCCCCCCAAGCAGTGCTTAGTTGAGGGACTGCTCAGAGCAGAGGAAGGAAGGTGGGAATGTGTCAGATGGTTGCAGCAGAAAGAGAATTTTGGGTGTCCCGTTGAAGCTATGTACCCTATAATTTCCACTGAGAAAAAGGAAAAGGGCCATGGACCAGATAAAGGGGTCCAATAGAGGAGCAGTCAGGTGGCAGCTGTTGAATCAGGTTGCTACTGGGAGGAGATTGGGGTTGTTGATCAAGAGCTTGAATTTTGAAATGAACACATCTCAGGTGATAAGAGAGCCCTGGAAGTTACCATTGGAAATTTGAGGCGAGGATCAGAAAGGGCAGGCTGTCCTCAAGGAGGTGGACCCAGGTTGGACCTGTGATCAGAAATCCTGAATGAAAGAGAATGATAGCAGAAGACAGAGGAAAAGGGTGAAGCGTGGCTATTGAGCAAGTTGAGCCCCCACACCTACCCCAAGCAAGTCGGGCAGCAAGCAGTACTGCTAGAATCATTGCGCCTTGTGCTCATTTGTCTGCAAATCTTTATCTTGTTATACATCTTTGTTATAATGTTATCTTGTTATATATCACTGTTATTTTGAAAAGGGAATGGTAGGAGTAGAGGACTTGGTGTACTCACTGATTGGAAGCCTTACCCTGGAGGGCAGTAGCCCAGGAGCCAGCTGTCCCTGGTGCCTCTCTTACCACCAAATCTCTGCTTGTTCATGATTGTGCAGAGGATCCCTTCACTCATCCCTGATGCAGCTGCTGCTCATCTTTTCTTGTTTGGCCTTTGCTTGTGAATTTCTCATGGGTTCTGTCACAGGTAGTGCTGTTTCATCATAATGCCATGAAGCCCTTGAGAAGGAGAGTGAACCTTGCCCTCCAGTCCCTTTCTCTTTGCTTCTTCTGCCTTTGGTGACAATTAGTAAAATAAGTGGTGGCAATGTTTTTGAGAGGGGTAAGGTGGCAATTTTAATGTGCATGTATTTTTGTTCTAGGGCTAAATTTTAAGAGATCAGCAAGATGGTTGGGGTTGTTCCTCATGGTTGAACAAGAAAGTAGCACACACATGCTATGCAAAGCAACTGCATGTGGCAGAAACTGCGTGGGGGCTGGGGGAAAGGATCCTGTATCTCCTACCTGGAAAATACAGAAGTTTTCTTGCATGTTGAAGTATTACATAGTTCTTTGAGTTAGGAGTTGGGAATTTTGATTTATCTCCAAGACACAAGTCATTTACTTGTGGATTGATTAGTTCATATTTACAAATGAGAATGATTTGTCCTTAGGCTTCATTTTTAAAGATCATCACACAGAATAGCAATAAATGGAAAAAGAGTGACTACGATACAGATAACCGTCCTCTCATTATTGAGGGAAAAAATAATTTGCACTTAGAAACAATGTGGTGATTTAAATTTATAAAGAAAAATAAAAATGAATGCTTTTCCCTTTCCCCATTAGTACTCACATCATTGTGGACTCCCATCAACCTTTAGAAATCATGATTAGTACACTGTTTGCATGTTTTAAATTGACAAATAGAAATTGTATATATTTATGTTGTATATCAGGATATTTTGGTATACATATACATACATTGTGGAATGGCAAAATTAAGCTAATATTTCTATTTTTTAGAGAATCATTAGCTCACTAAGGGCAAGCTTTGGGATTTATTTTTGTTTTGTTAAATTGTATATGATGTACTCTTCCTCATCAGAAACAATAAATATTACTTTTTTTATTGACAAGTTCGTTTGTCTAAGTGATCAGTTTTGCTCTAAACAGATACTACTGGAAATAAGAATGTCTGAAATTAAGGCAAATTTTAAGAAACATTTAAGATATGCTAAATCTGTGTTACATTGACAGAATACTTAGTTATTTTATTTGCTTTTCATGCTGCACAAGGATGCTGAGGTTAAATACTGAGGTAAGGCGTATAACCAAAGGTATTGTGAGCTGCTTCATATAAATTTCCTGTTTTTTGTTTAATCTCAAAAACGTATCATAAATATGTAGTTTTTTGTTTTGTTTTGTTTTGTTTCCAGTACCGGGGATCCAACTTGGGACCTTGTGCTTGTGAGGCAGGCACAGTGACACTGTGCTAAATCCCTGGCCCCTGTAGTCTTACTTTATAAGTGTTGTCTCACTTTCTTGTTGCCGGGACGAAATATCCAACACCCATATCTTAAAGGAGGAGAGGTTTATTTTGGCTCACTGTTACAGTCCATGGCCATTGGGCTCCAAGGCAGAAACTGCGTGGCAAAAGGGCCTGGATGGAGAAAAGTTGCTCAAGTCATAGCATGGAGGAAGCAGAAAGTAAAGGGAGGAGTTAGGGAGCCCAGTGACCCATCTTCCTCCCAGGCCCCACCTCCTAACCGCTCACTCAGCCCCTTAACTCATCAGTAGATGAATCTATCAGGAAGTACAGGACCCCCACAATCCACTCTTCAAAAGATCCCACCTCTGAGTATGTGAGAGTTTTGAGGGACATTCTAGATCCAAACCACAAGTGTATGTAGTAGTATAACTTAGACATTTAAATTTTAGTAGTATACTTGGTGATCTAAGTGCTTACTCATTACTGTGTGCTGGATTATCATTCTGTTCAATACGTACATAGTAATTTCTATTTTTCCAACATAATCTGGTTAGAATTTGCATGGCATGTAGTTATTTATTTATTTGGGTTTTTTTAATGTGTTTGTTTGTTTGTTTGATTTTCAAGACATGGTTCACTGTGTAGTCCAGGCTGCCTTGAACTCATGGCAGTCCTCTTGCCACAGCCTCCTGAATGCTGGGATTACAGGTGTGCCCCACCACACCAGCCAAATAATCATTTAAAATTTTTATTTTTTCAGCAGTTGAGGAGGTACCTAATGCTCTGTGAATTGACTTAAAATGAACTTTTTCCTGTTTTTGTTTTTTCATTTTCTTTGGTATTGGGGATTGAACTCAGCCATCACACTGAACTATATCCCAACCTTTTATTTTTTAATTTTTATTTTGATTTATTAATATAAAATCCCAGATTTTTCTAGGCTTGCACTGGTAATCTTCCTGCTTCAGCCTCCCAGAGTGCTGGTATTGCAGGCCTGAGCCTCCACAACCAGGTTAATCTTTCTATAATGAAAGTTAATTGTACTGTGTGGATAGGACACTGCTACCGGCCTTGCCCAGGGTCCCTCTTTAGTGCTTCCTGCACTGCTGCTGCTTCCCCTGCAAGTTGCAGTCACTCCTATTGCACCCCCAGCTGTAGCCAATGAGACTAAGGGAAGGTGCCCCAGAAGCCTGGCCACCTACCAGTAGGCTGAACTCCAGTTGAAACCACATCCTTGCTTAGCATCTTCCTCTTCCTTGTCCAGCTGCTTATACTTCCTCAAATGCTTCTGCTGAGAGAGATTTGTACATCACAGGCCCTGAAACCCACAGAATTAAAAGAATATAGGTGATCCCTCCCTGTGTGTTTCCATTAAACTTCAGCAGTTACCAGCGGGTAGCCTGCCTAGTTTTACCTGTTCTCCATATATCTCCTACATTGTGCCATTTTATCCTGATCAATATGTATCTACTGAATATAAATCCAGGATAGAAACACCATTTTGTGAAACATCAATGATACTATTATCGGACTTAGTGAAATTCCCAGTGTCATCTGATACTGAGAACCTATTCTTATGACTCTTACAACCACAGATGTGACACTGCAATATGCAAAACAAACACTGAGTGTGTATGTTAAAACTTTGCCTTATTTAGTGTAGGGTCAAATTAGCATATGGTAATTTAATTCTAAATTGTCCCTCTTTTCCTAAGGTCCTGGATGCTTCATCCCTTAGTTTCAACACTAGATTGAAGTGGTTTGTCATATGCTTCGTGGCTGGCATTTTCTTTTCTATCCTTGTGAGTAGATTGCTTAATAATTTTTATTTTGTATTAAGCTAATAGTACCCTCTAGTACGAAAAAGTGCCTGTTAGACTATTTTAATGGAACATATTTAGTCACCTATAATAAAGTGTTAGAAATCAATAAAAAGTTGTAGAAGCTATGGAGTTTTGCGAATTGTTAAATTGATTTTACTAAGGTAAAATCAGTGTGTCTTGAGAACCAGGGAGTCATTAATTTAGATGTGTTTATTACTTGTTTTAACTAGCCATTTAAAATGAGTATTTTTAATAGTGAGATTTATTGACAGATACAGAGTTTTTTTATGGCACATTTGTGTATACTTAAGCAAAGAGGCAGGAGATTCAAAGTAATACATAACATTGAAAGTTGTTTTTACTGTGTAGAGAGCATATACTAGTACATTTCTTTTGAAACATTTATTTACATAATATTTATATTACTACTGTATAATTTTTAATTTCAGCCATTTATAATTTCACATTTATAATTTCAGCCATTATGATCATGGAGTTATTTTCAACTAATTATAATGTCTGACTTAGGGAACTGGATTGCTGTGGCTTCCCGGTGGCATAAAGCTTTTTGCAGTGTTTTATACCCTTGGAAATCTTGCAGCATTGGCCAGGTATGTGTCTGTTGGCTTCTCAAGATGTACTGTTTGCTTTCACTATTAAATATATCTTTCTAATATGCACTTAGCTAGTAGGATGTTTCTGTAACTCTATATACTATAAATTCAGCCCCAGAATTTATGTTCATTCCATAAATACTTATTGTCTCCTCCTACATGCTAGCTACCATAACAGACAGAGCACTAATGAGAGTGGGCAGCATTTTGGGGAGCACATACTACATGCCAGGAACTGTTCTGAGCGCCTTGTATCAGTTATAGCAGGTTTACAGGAAAGGGCCTCATTCCTGTAGGGTAGGTGGATCTGGTTGCAGAGGGTGAGTCACCTGCTCACAGTGGTGTGCTCCTCATAAGTCAACTGGGGCAGGATTATCAGCAGGCAGTGGACTCCAGAGCCTAGGCTTGTAGTTGCTATGCCCTGGTCCTTGCTCCTGTGGAGCTCAGATTTAGTGAGGGAGGTGGTAACAACAAGCCAGAAAAAGATGTGATAGTATTGGTACAGTGCAGAGAATTCAGTGCCTAAGTAGCTATTAGTTTATGTGCTCAGAGTTCCTTTTTGAGACTTTTGCTGCATCTTTGGGTATGTGGATTGTTTTCTCCATTTGTGCTGCTTTAAGAGAATACCTCAGACCGAGTTAAAATGGATGTTTGTTTCTTACAATTCTGGAGGCTGGAAGTTCAAGATCAAGCCTTAGTGCAACTGCGTGCTGTCACTAAAACAGCATATTCGAACCATAGCTTGTTGTGAAGTATACTTTTAAAGTTAAGGAAAAATAAAACACATTAAAGAAAGATTTTTATTAAATAAATGGGTTTATCTTTGAAAAGCAGTTTATTTTTACATAGCCAGAAAAATTTGCAAGCCATCTCTGTTGTTTTTTGTTTTTCTATAGCACATGCTTTTTAATGGGACCCATTAAGCAGCTAAAGAAAATGTTTGAAACAACAAGATTGCTTGCAACTGTTGTTATGCTGGTAAGCAAATGTTGTTTTTAAACTTTTACTAGTAAAAATATTTTATGTATTACCATTTTATGAATGATTTCTCATAAAGTGTGTACATTATACTGCTCTTCTTGAATAAAATAAGTATATCTTCAAAGCTACATGACTACAGAACTTGGATTGTACTGTATTCTAAAGTTGTAGTTTGGTTAAAGCCTGATTTCTGTTGTATATTAACTAACATTGTATGTGTGTGTATGTATAAATGAAAATTAGAGCTTTAAGCCCTGTAGATTATTTGACTGTCTTTACTGTTTGGAGGGTAAGAGTAGAAGATAGGTTACTTCTGAATTCATTTGAATCTTCTCAGGAAAAATAAGCATTACTTGTCATCTGGGTTTTGTACCTGCCTTGTTTACTTCACAAATAATTCTAACATTGTGGCTTCTATAACAATACTGTACTTTTTTGGGTTTTTTGAGACAGGATCTCACTGTTAGTTCAGGCTGGCCTCGAAATCCTGTTTTGCAATCCTCCTACCTCAGCTATCCAAGTGCTGGGATTACTGGCATGACATGCCCAGCTAATACTATACTTTTAAATAGACCTTCATTGCATTGTGGGTCCTGCCCAAGACCAGCAGTTGTTACTCTTAAATGTTCTCTTTATCTTCAGCCTGGGTGTGGGGTGGAAGATGCATGCTTTACACCTGGGGCTAAAATGTTTCCATCATCATACACTTTGGGATATTAGGTAATTGATGTTTTGTGTAGGATGGGTGGAAGAACAACCCTTGCTCAAATCAAGTCTTTGAGTCCCAGTTCACTTGATCAGCATCTCTTAGAAATCTCTTGTTAGAGAGCATTTGTATATTTAAAGTGTTTCCCCCCAGTTTTGAATTGTTAACATTAGCTTTTTAAACACAACCAACCTATATTAATTTGTAAGGAAATGTTTACAATCTGCCTAGCAGTCTTACTCCATTTTTTTCACCAGATAACAAAACAAAACAAACTACCATTTTTTGGTGTAGTTTTATTTTTTTATGTGTTTAATTTCATATTTTGTTATTTTTGTAAATTTTCCAGTTATTTTGAATCTCTTGTATTATGTACAGTATATCAAAATATTTATTAACATTTAATTTAACCTAATAGGAAATTACCTTAAACTGTTAAGTCTGCCAAAAGTTTTTATTCCAATGAAATTTTACTTTATTTGTTTTATTTAAGGTATCTTAACCTTTTAAGTAATGCACCTTACACAACATAGTTGAGAGAATGTTAGAACATTTTGGAAGTATAAAATACTTTCCCAAAGGGACCATTGTAATTTAGGGATACATTTTGGGACCATAAAATTGTCATTGCCTCTGGGTGAATGCTCTGCTCTGTCTCATTTGCTACTCACACAGACTATGACTTAAAATAATGTTGAGGAAATCATCCTCATACCAGCCTACCACAGGAATACTGTGCAAAGTCATCTTCTGATTTCTCATTACAGTAGCCCTCTAGGCAGGACAGATGGGAATTAGAGATCTTTGTTAGAAGAAAACAGGTCTAGATAGGTGCACTGCTGTTACCAGGATGCTGAGATAACAGGCTGGCCTCCTATCAGGTCTGTAACACTGTCTCTGGCCTCTCCTTTTCACCTAGTGCCTGCCTGTGTGACACACAGGGTGGGTCACTAGAGCTACTCTCACTGGAGCTGGAGGTAATGCAGTTTTTCTGTATGAAAAATCCCTGGAATCATTAAGCCAATTAAATTCACCATGTATTGGCATTTGTACTAATGATCACTGTTGCTAGTCATTAACAGGAACATCCTTAGAATGGCTCTTTGTCTATAAACATTTGTCAAAAGTTCTTTCAGCTTACTTAATCAACAGATTAGGTGTTTCAGCTTGCCAAGTGTCTTAGTTTTTTTTCTCATTGCTGAGACAGAATCCCCAATACTCAAAGTTAAAGGAAGAAAGAAAGGTTTATTTGGCTCACAGTTTACAGAGGTTTCAGTCTATAATTGGCTGACTCCAAGGTTGAGTAGTAGGGCAGAGGGGCATCAAAGAGGAGAAACAGTTTATGGCAGGCAGAAGGAAGCAAGGCTACATGCAGCAAGAAGCAATTGACACATTCTTTCTGTCCTTTTATATTGTATCCAAGCTACCCGCCTTTAGGGTGGGTAACATACCTAAAATGGGACACCCTTAATCCTACCCAGAACTATGCCATACCTATCAGTGGACTAATTTAGTAATTACACACCCTTAATTCCAGCATCACACACCCTAGATCCTGACACCCCTGAAAAGCCCAATCTATGATCACATGAGGCTTTGAGGAACATCCAGATACAAGCCGTAACACTGTGAATTGTGCAGTTGTGGACTTTAAAGTAAAATGATAGTCATGGAATGAGAATTCACGTCTCTCATTTGTTCTGTATTACATTATCTATGCAGATGACTGCAGACTTGTTTGTGCATTTGTATCAGGCTTTTGAAGGATCTCAGACTAACCCTTCACCTCTCCTTCCCTACAGCTATGCTTGGTGTTTACCCTGTGTGCTGCTCTTTGGGTAAGCTATGATGACTTTCTGCTGCTATTCTCACCGGCTGCAGTATAATCACACCATCATGTCAGAGTAGCTCCAAGTCTAGTTTTCAAAAACTTTCAAAGATTAAGTGTTCCTAAAATGGAATTTGTAAGTCCAGTTGGGTAGGCGTAAGGTGGAGTCTACTGTCTATAATGTAGATGGAGTTAATTGTTGAATGTATAAATCCTCACAAGCTGAGGCTGAGCTGATGTCTTTGACACCATCTGATGGGAGAAAGGCTCAGACACGTCTGGGTCCTCTGTCTTCTCTCACTGCTGTGAGCTGTGTTGTGACCCTGTGGCTCAGAAGGAGGCAGGAGCAGTAGAGGCTGACAGGATAGTCAAACCAACAGGCAAGAGGACTGGAGACTAAAAGAAAATAACTAAAAAGAGACAGAGGAACCTAAAGCAGTCTTTTACCACTTATGGATAAATGAACAGCTCTTCATTAGACTGAGGAAGTTATATCTTACAATCTTCACTTACTCCAGCTCCTGATTCTCAGTTTTATTCATTTATTGTGCCATACCTCCTTCCCACAGGGCTTGGTAGCAGTTCTTGAGCTACCAATTAAATAACACATTTTTTCAAAAAGAAAGGCAATGTATAATACATTATTTAAATGTTTTATTAGAAATTTTCTGATTTTCTTTTTTATTTTGATGATATAAAGTTACATGAGAGTCACTTAGATTTCATTTCCCAATGATAAAGAATATTCTTTGGAGGCAAGATAGCCTCTTTAATAAATGGTATTGGAAAAACTGGATTTCAGCCTGCCAAAGATTAAAACTAGACCCTTATCTTTCACCATGCACTAAACTAAAATCCAGGTGGACTAAAGATCTAAATATTAAAACAGAAACACTAAATTTGTTGGAAGATAAGTTCGGCAGAACTCTTGAGAATATTGGCATAGGAAAAGACTTTATGAACAAATCCTCAGTAGCAAGGGAACTAGCAGAAAGAATCAGCAACTGGGATCTTATCTTATTAAAAAGCTTCTGCACTGCAAAAGAAACCATCAACAGAACTGAGACAACATACAATGTGGGAAAAAAATTTTACCAGGTGCTCCTCAGACAAAGGACTATTACCTAGAATAAAAGAACTCATAAAAATCAGCCCCCCCAATATAAAGACCCAATTCAAAAATGGGCATCTGAAAGAACAGACATTTCTCAGACAAAGAAGTAAAAGCAGCAAGTAAATGTATGAAAAAATGTTCCATATCACTGGTCATTCTAGAAATGCAGATGAAAACAACACTGAGATTCCACCTCACCCTACCAAGAATGGCTGCTATGAAGAAATCACCCAATAACAAATGTGCATACTGGAGAGTGCAGACTGGTGCAACCACTATGGAAATCAATGTGGAGATACCTCAAAGAGCTGGGATTAGAAATGGTTTCATTTGACCCAGCCATCCCTCTGCTGGGTATTTTTCCAAAATAATTAAAAGAATCACATCACAGTGATATATGCACACCTGTGTTTATAGCGGCACAGTTTGTAATAGCTAAAACTTGGAAACAGCCCATTTGCTGATCAGTTGGAGACTGGATAGAGGTGTGGTTTTTTTTCTAAAATGGAATACTACTCAGCCATAAAGAATGATAAATGAGAGTCATTCATAGGAAAAGATACATATTGAGGATATACTCCTAAGTGAAATAAATAAGTCACACATGTATAAATACCAAATAGTTTCCCTGTTGTGAAAAACTATAATGGTACATAAGATCCTAATGATATAATTAACAATGTGAAATAGGAAGAAAAGGGCTAAAGGTGTAGGGGAAATGGGTAGGGTAGGGGAAAGGTAATAAGGGAAAAAATATAAGAAAATGGAAAAATGGAAATAAAGTATTTGTAAATAGGGAAGGGAAGAGGGTGAAGGGAGGGCAGGGACAAGGGGAAAAAATGAGAACCAAGACCTGTCATGTAAAGGTACAAAATCCCAATGATGAATGTAACTGTACTGTATACCTAATATGAACCAATAATCTTAGAGAGAGAGAAAAAAAAAAGAATATTCTTTAAAAGGTTTTGTAGATCTCTAGGAAACATTGGTTTCTGCCTTTGGAATGTTCTAGTTCCTTATGTAAGCAAACTAAAAATAAAGAAGCAACTAAATAAAAACAGCTGTGGCTCCATGGTAGCACTTTTGACCAGCATGTACGTGGTCCTGGGTTTAATCCCCAGCACTGAAACCAAATGAATCAACCAAAAACATGATACAGATTCTCAAAATAGATTATTTTTGAGAAATAATAGCTTGGAAACTGTTTTTACTACAGAAGATCACAATAATAAATCGTTTTACTTCAAAAAATAACTCAAGAAAAGGAACAAAGGGACATGAGTAAGTAAATTCCATGTGAGAATCTAAGAGAGATTTTAAATGTCGATCCAAAAAAGTTAACATCAGTTTTTTTATTACTAAACCTTCAAAAGCTTAAATCTTTATTACTTTTATGCACAATTATTTCAGTGATATTTAATAGGTAAGCTTTTGAAATGAAATATATTTTGTGTGTGTATAAATTTCTTACATATATCAGACTAAACTTTAATAAAATAAAAGGAGCCATCATCCATATTTGTGAGGGGAAAGAAAAATTGAACTTAGTTATAAAAAGTACTTTTAAAACTCCCGAACTCATTTCTGTTTTTGCTCTTGTTAGTGGCATAAGAAGGGACTGGCCTTATTATTCTGCATATTGCAGTTCATGTCAATGACCTGGTAAGTCTTTTCTCATACTAGTTAAAAAGTTAAAATGGCCTAGCATGTGAAACATTTTGTTTGGAAACTGTGAAGCTCTAAATTTGGGTTAGAAACATGTGCTTTGGAGCCAGACCTTGTGAGACCCTATGAGGTGAGGTGAGGTCAGGGCTAAGTCCTGTTGTTTCAGACATTGAGCTTCAGTGGTACCTTTAGGAGGGGGAGCTATGGAAGTTGGGTGCATCAGTGGTGGAGTGGGGAGCTATGCTCATGTAGAAATACAAGGACATGATCGTGAAAGAAAAGTGATAAGAAATGTAGACAGTGCCCCATGATCTTATAAAAGAGGCCAAATCACAGGGTGAGCCTGAGTGAAGGTCAGTCCACCAAGCATTATGCACACTGTTGCTGGGTAATTACGAGTAGGAGCTCCTGCTGGTGTTTTTTGTGGTCCTGTGATAATCTAGAGATGCTTTCTGTACAGACGGTGACGTGAACACTTGTTGAGTACTGTTTTCGGGCTGTTCTACTGGTAGTTTTCTCTCCCACTTTCTGAACATCTGAGCACGCATCTCCCTGGTCAAACTGTCCTGTTCTTTACAGCCCTTTGTCTGTCCTACCCCACATCTGGTCCATCTGTGTAGAGGTGCAAATATTGGTCTGATTGAATATGCCTCTGCTGGCTCCTTGCCCTCCTCCGTGTTAGATGGTGAAGAGTGTTTGTTTCCTAGAGGTATGTCTTCATACCAGTAACTCCTTCCTGATTTTACAGCTTTAAATTTTTGATATTATCAAGCCTGGAGTCAGTTGTTCTTTTGGCCCTGCTCCTCTTTTCTATTGATAGATAAAACATCAACAAATGTTTATAGTTGTCTACATATTTCAAAGTTATCATATAATGTTTTTTCACTGTAGTGCAGGGAAATTGGATCTCTTATTTTTCTTCTTATTTTGACTTCTGTTGCCTAATCTGTACTTAATAATTGATTTATTCTTAAAAGAGAATATATTTCTCAGTTATTTTATAGTTCTATATCAAAAATAAAAGTAACTTTTTATAATGGGATGCTCAAACTTTAGCATGCATTAGAATCGCCTGGAGTGTTTGGTAATGGTCTAGGGCTGTTGCTCAGTGGTAAAGCACCTACCTAGTTTGCCAAGATCCAGGTTTCAGTCCTCAGCACTGAAACACACACACACAACACACGCAAAACCAAAAAACATACTGCTGGATAAAACAGTCTTGTGTTTGAAGGTATCTGGGTGGGACCTAATGCTCTGAGTTTTAAACAAGTTCACAAGTGATTGTTTTTCCTTCAGTATTGGGTCAAACTTCGAGAGCCTCTAAAGGGTACTGTGCTGTTGTTTGCCATAGTGGTAGACATAGCCTCTTGGCATAGAGGAAGCTGTGGTGTACAAATATCAGTAAACATTTTTGACTCTTTCTTGCAGGTACAGTCTGTCATATATCCCATATGCAAGGTGAGCTTGTTTGAATTCCATTGTGTTATTTCTGATTCTTTAATAATCACACAAATTAGGGCAGGGATTTAGCTCAGTGGCTCCACCGCCTGCCTTGTGAGCACAAGGACCCGAGTTCGATCCCCAGTACCCAAAAAAAAAAAAAAAAAAAAAAAAAAAAAAAAAAAAATCACATAAATTTAAATAATTTTACATTAAGAGATTTTTTTTTTTTTGGTTGACATTGACTTTCTTGCTTAAAGGAAATAAGTTTTGTTTTGTTTTAATGAGTTGAAAAGATGTTTGGCACTTGTAGTATCCACAGGGAAGCATCTTGAATATGTGAAGGAAATGGGTTGGGAATTTATTCCTGCCTTACCACTTCAACATTTGTAGTTAGGAGATTTTTGACAAGAGACTCTACAGTAACTAGGATGCAGAAACTGGGAAAATGAGATATGATGAGTGTTTTTAGCAGCAGAAATATAATCAAGAGGTAACTGCCATTTTTTCAACTTTTCTAAAGATATTTTAATTTAATTATGGAGGACAACCAAAACTAATTCCAATTTAGACCTGAGAAATTTGGAAAAAATTCTGGAAAGGTGTGACTTTGTTACTTGTGAAATTAGAAGACGTGAGATCTACCTATCCTTCTTGACTGGGAGCCTGGTCTTCCAGAAGCAGAAGATAGAATGGAGACCCCTGTCAGAGTTACAGTTGAGGGTGATGTGCATCCAGGACCCACCCTGGCATGTGCTGCTGTATGGGTGAGGAGGGTCCCAGGGAGAAAATGGAGCACCTTTGTAAAGAGGCTCACCGTGGGGTGGGGCACAGCTCAGGATAGAGAAGTAGGTTCTTAGATATAGCTATCTGTAATATTATATATTTATATATGTATGTTTAGAAAAAGGAAAATTATATATCCAGTATAAACAGTGAAGGAAATTAGTGTCAAACAGATTATTCTTTTTGATGAGCATTTATTATAAGGAGAAAATATTAATTGAGTCAAATACAGGTGAAGAAGCTAGAACAAGAGCTCTTAGAGCTCACGTAGTGTACCCCAGATGCTCCCTTGGCAGCTTCTCAGTTCTTTCCAGCTTTCAGCATGGAGGGAGGGTTAGAGAGACCTCAGGTCTGTGCCATCCAGAGCCAGTTTCTACATAGGTGGCACAGGTCTGGAAAAATGACTGCTCCTTCCCCAGAAATGCAGGATCCTGCACTAAAGAACAAACTGTAGAATAAATCTCACAGTTTTTGGTGGATTTTTTTTTTTTTCCTGGTACCAGGGATCAAACTCAGGACCTTGAGCTTACAGGGTAGGCGCGGTGCCACTGAGCTAAATCCCCAGCCCTTTTCAGTCGATATTTTTAACAGTCTAACTAGAAGTTGTTTTTTTTTTTAAATGAATATGTATTATGTAATAATTCAAACATACAGTTAAGAAAAAATGTGAAAGGTAAATGAGATTTATTAATTAATGTTTTGTAATTCTCAGAATGAAGTGTTAAACCATTGTGCTTTTAAAATTCATGTTCTAGGGGCAGGGATTTAGCTCAGTGGTGCTGCACCTGTCTTGCAAGCTCAAGGTCCTGAGTTTGATCCCCAGTACTGGAAAACAAAAACAAAAATCCATGTTTTAGCAGAGTGTGGTGGTACATGCCTATAATCCTAGCATTTGGGAGGCTGAAGCAAGAGAATCACCCTGAGTTCAAGACCAGCTTGAGCTACAAAAGTGAAACCCTATCTCATTATAAACCGAAAACAAAATAAAACTTCAAATCCAGTTCATTCATTCTTTTTCAAAGTTAGTTTTTTTGTTAGGCTATTTTTGGTATTTAAGTCTCTTTGTATTAAGATCAGCATGTGTGCTGGTGAATATTTCCTAAGGTAAACACTATTTTGGAAATTAGTAGCTCTTGATTTTAGATGATATTCAGTAAAGTTCTAGTTAATCAAAAAATATGGAGAAGAGTCCAGAGAATTTCACTGTAAAGAGGCTTTCTTGTAGTTGGCAGGAACTCATTTTGCAGATTTGCTCTTGCAGAATATTGTTACATCTGCTTTTTTCCTCCTTTTCACCAGGGATGCAGTACTTAAATGCTGTTCTTCTATCCTAAGTTGAAAATCTGAACCATCTCATGGGAAAGAACACTGGAAGGTGGGATCGTCTGTTGTGCAGGGGGATATTCCTGGTTCTGTAATCAGTCCATCTGCAACTCAAGCCCATTGTGTGTCCTGGTAAAACCACTCTTAAACTGTTCCATGCTCATAGTTTTAAATGCACTGTTGTTATTAACATGATTTTCCAAAGATAAGATTTTCACTGACAATTGTAAATAATCTTTAGCCACTTTTTAATCTTTACAAAGGAGCTTTTGAAATGTGAATATTTAAGGGATAAATCTGTGCTGTGAGATATATGCAGTTTATTTGGCTTTTAAAAATATCTACATTTTTAAGATACCCTTTTTTAACTTTAAAAATGTGAAATTTTTTACTTTAAGCTTAAAATTCCTTATTACATACATGTAATATAAATAATATATATATATATATCTATATATATCTACAATTTTGAAATAAACCCATTCTTGGAAAAATAACATTTTCTGGAACGGATTTATAATATTTTAAGTGGTTCAACTCAATAAATTTTTTTCATGCTGTCTTTAGGTAGACAAATGAATAATATACAGACCATGACCTAAGAAATACTGCTGAGAATAGATGTGTGAAGGTATTAGCACTGAAAACAGCACCAGCCAGGCATTCCGGAAGGGATGACAGTGGGGCACTGATTACATAGGTGCTGACAGAGGGGAGGGGACCCAGGTGCCAGCAGCAGTGGAAAGCTGCTTTACCCCAGGGTGGAATCGGCAGGAGACCACTGCAGAAGCAAGGGGAGATGGCCATTGAGAGGTAGCAGAGAGGGAGAAGCTGTACCTGGTGCCCTTCCTCCCCCATGGGCTGACCCCAGCCTGGTCAGTGTTCAGCAGGAAGGGGCAAGTTGGCACGGCCACTGTGACACAGTAGTGCAAAGAGAAGGTGGCTTTATCTCAGGCTAGTGAGGGTCAATAGGGAAAATAGGTACAAGAGGGTGGCAGAAGAATCGCTTTTGCTTAGTTAGCCTGGTAAACAAGGGCTGGTGAATATTCTTTTGGGATAGCAGGTAGATCATCATGGAGATGAGTCTCTTCAGGACAGGGTAGTGATTGTTAGGGTATTGTGAGTAGTTGAGGTCATTGGTGTTGAAATACAAGGTGGTTGGTGTGAGAGGGGGGTTGGCCAGGGTCAGGCCCAGGGACCTTGGGAGTTGAGCCTGCTGGTTAGCACCCTCCTCCATTGGTGCAGAGAAGAGCACGTTCTGAGGAATGAGAAGGTACTATGCAGGACAACCACAGATGTCTTGGCACCAAGGAAGTCTCGGTTGCTACAATGAGGCATGGGGAATGCTGCTACAGAGGCTCCACGGGGTGCTTTATGGTGTGGGATGCAGCTCACCAGCTTTGGAGCAGGCTATGCAGCCCCCAGGCAGAGGAAAGAGATACTTTGGAAGAGGTGGGGCCAGTGAGTATAGGAAACTGGCTGTGGAAAACACTCCAGAGGACAAGAGACTTGCTTGAGCCATTTAATAAATGACAATAGTAATAAATGGGCTTAGTTTTCAGAAAAGATTGGGAAATTGCCCTCATGTGCTACATACCCTCTTTGGACCTGTCTCTTCCTCGTGGTTCTGCTGAGGTCCTGCTGGCATGCACTGTGGATGGTCAGGTTCTGATAGGCATATCCACTCTTGGCATCCACTGTGCTCTGCTGTGTCTGTGAATCTTGTTTGCTTGTCTGGCAGCAGGAGGCAGGAATAATATGCAGGGAAGAAAGCAGAATTGGGAACCCTGTTGAGAAATGGCTGTTGACTTTAAAGTTGAAATGCTATCTGCTTGTCTGGGTTTAGCCTGACCAAAGGAGGGGCTTTCTAGGAATCCATTTGAGAGAAGCAGGAGTCAGCTGGAGAACCTGAAGTCCAGGCAACCCAGGTGCTGAACTCCAGAGTCCTTGAGTGAGAGCTACAAGGGACAGAGCATACAGATGGCTAGCAAAGAGTAATATACCCATCTTGCCTGGGAGCCTGGTCTTCCAGAAGCAGAAGGTAGAGTGGAGACCCCTGTCAGAGTTACAGTTGAGGGTGATGTGCATCCAGGACCCACCCTGGCATGTGCTGCTCTATTGGTGAGGAGGGTTCCAGGGAGAACATGGAGCACTTTTGTAAAGAGGCCCCTTTATAAAGGGGCACAGCTCAGGATGGAGAAATAGGTTCTTAAATCTGCTGAGGCTAGGGCTGGGGATTTAGCTCAGTGGTTCTGGAGCCTGCCTTGCAAGGGCAAGGACCCGCATTCGATCCCCAGTACCACCAAAATATAT